TATGGCAATTCACCCCCTATTACATGGGACTCATAACATAAAATAATAGTGAAAAGTGGGTGTTACCTACATTGTAGTGGCATAAAATGCCGTAATTTACACCTCTGCCTACCCCTTCGGAAATAAAAGGCGTGATGTTATGTTTATGATATCTAGATGTTCTTGTTTCGACCAAAACTATTTATTTAACCGAGTTTATAAATCAGATTTTTATTTGCATACCCCGTCCTCGTCCCTATTTTTTTAAACAATGAATTTCTCTTATCTTCTTATTTATCTATCTGTATGCCCGGCAACCGCACTGACCGCACTTGCGACCATTCGACCAACGACACAGTCAAAAAAATCTACTCATCATTTCAATATGAATGATTGAAGTTTAAAAATTAATAAATACATCTTGTTTAATCAGACATCGGCCTTAGTAAATCCTAAAATATATCTAGACTTTGTTAATGATTCCCTTTCATTTACATGACTTACTTGACTTAATATCCTGTGTCCCCTAGATGGGGCAGTGGGCGTCTACTGAAATTCTCCATCACGATCTGTGTTGAGTTTCACGCTTCACCTAACTTTACGTCATACCGATGCTCGTCGCTTCTGCCAGTACGGTGCGACGCCAGGTTTGCCGAGGATGGCCACGCTTTCTTTTCCCTTGAAGATTCCAATCCAAGGCTCGCTTGGGTATGTGGTCAGGACCCCTTCGGAGCGTGTGGGCTATCCATCCCCACTTGCGGCTGTGCCCTATTCATCCCCACTCGGCCTTTCATTTACATAGAGTATATTTAATTAGATAAGGTACGATGGGGTTGACTTATCCATATGGACAAGTCGCAGAGAACCTAACGGGTTACCGGGGCTCCGGCTCGAAGTGCAGGAGAAGGAACGGGGTGGTTTTTAGTCAGTAAGAGTTTGACACTCCCTCCCGCCTCACCCAGGCGGGTGTAGTCGTTCGATGATTTTCCCCCCTTAAAAAATACATATGGACAAAAACCCCCTAAAACTAAAAAAAGAAAGGAGAATAAAAAAAAAGAAATTGACCTGTAACAATATTATTATACATACCTACTTTTACTTAGATAAGCAGTAAGCACGTGTTAACAATATTACAATGATTCATAATGTAATGATAACATACTATGTTTACCAAACATACGGTTTTAACGTTCGTGACTACTGAAGCGGTCAGTCGGAAGTTTCCCCGTGTATTTCTATTTATGATGGGTGTTTAATTTTCTTACATGTTACATTTTCTGTTTTATATCGTTTGTTCTGACTGTTATGTTTTCTTTGGGTGTGACGGTTCTTGGCGTGTTTAAACTAGTTTAAAGTTTAGATTAAGGTCCCTTTTCACCAAGCTCTGTAAAAACTCAGTTACACGTAACCTAAGTTTAAAGTAACCTAAGTTCTGTGTTCTGTGTTTTCTGTACTGAGTTCCGTGTAAACTAGTTTCTGTTTGTAGCGGTGAAATGTAAAATGAAGCTGTAACTTCGTTTAAATGCTTTAAATTCGATTAGACGCTTTAAATCCGTTTTGTTAGGTGTAATCGTGATCAGTTTCGTTGGTGAAAAGGGACCTTAGGATTTTGTTGAAAGGTTAATAAATTCTTTTGATTCGGGATTTGAAAACTGATGTCCTTGCTTCGGTGGTAATGTCTAACAAATTGCAAGTTGGCAAAAATCTACCTCAATGATGTAAAAGTTGTTCTATCATGTCTAAATTTATTTATTTATTTAAACTTTATTTTCAGACAACTATGGCCTATAGATACATACCTAAAATCATTGGGTTTTTGCACTAAGTGTATTATGGGCAGAAACTACAGAACTTCACTGGCTAAGATTATAACATATGGACGTAGGTCCATTAATAGCTATAAATGACAAAATTAAGTATAGAAACATAGGAAGTTTTACCACCACTAACTACTAATCATCAATCTACTCATCTCATAAGACATACAAAATTTAACAAATAATAAAAAACTGATTCCAAATAACGATAGTATTTTATCTAAGTCGTTTCAAGTCGGAAATATCTCGCGATCTTCCGTTTGATCAAAGGACTGACAAACTAATGTCGGTTTATATTTAGATCGGACCAGATGCTGTCGAGTTCAACACTGATCCCGATCGCTAAGAAATTAATCGTATTAAAAAGTCGAAAGATAGTGAAATATGTGCGAGGAATGCTTCGGTATCATTGACAGACCACCCCTGGATTATAGATAGGCTTCAATACACCTTGAAGTCTTTCATTTTCGTCCCGCAGTAAAATGGGTCTGTCTCGGTAATAGTTTTACAAAGAAATCTTATCTTATACTATTATATAAAGCGGAAGAGTTTGTTTTTTGTTTGTTTGTTTGAACGCGCTAATCTCCGTAACTATAAGTCTGATTTGAATAATTCTTTTTGTGTTGGATAGCGCATTTATCGAGGATGGCTATAGGCTATAAAACTCACGCTACGACCAATAGGAGCTGAGCAGAGCGTGTGAAACCGCGCGGAAGTAGCTAGTAAAGAAATAAGTGATGAACCATGACTTCGAAAGTGCATACAAACTCTTAGTAGTACATAATCAAAACTTCACACCGTGTAATTCTCGAAAAGGTATTTCTGGTCACACGTGTGATGCGAATAGTGCCTAAAAATTTACATCTAGTGTCTCATATGCGAAAATCAATGAATTTTTTTTAACTAAAAAGAAAATTACGTCATTATTTTTTAGTTTTTATTTTATACATCGAAAGTACTCCTTGTGGCTAGTTGTTTTGCTGCGGGACGAAAACGAAATGGATTTCACGGAGTATAAAGGGTGTTTGCCATAATGCTCACGCTTGGCGGGTTAATTGGATTAATTTAATTTAATTGGTTAATTCCTTGTTTTAACTAAGTTTTACTTTTCTTTTGTTTGTGTTTTATTGTTGTATCAGTTACTGTTATTGGATTTTTATGCCGTTGTGACTGTTAAAAAATAAATAAATAAATAAATAAATTGGAGATCAGTTCAAAAGATTCAGGTTCATCAGAGCTCGCTGCTGCCCGGTCTCTGTTGAAAGTCTAGTCTCTTAGCCCGTATATCCCCAAGTGGTCACCGGTGACCGCTCTCCACAACATTATACTACATTATAGACCTTATTTCCAATGTTTAGAGACTACTTTTGTATGAACTAATTTAGGGGATTATAATCAACAATTTTCAACAGGTTAGTTGACTGTTACGGCTCTCGAGAAGAGTAGAGCTTGTGACAAATGTATTTTCCTTTAACGGCTTTACACGGCAAACAAACCTATGTATCTTAGTATTGTTAGTTACAAACCACGTTTTCAAGGACTCCAAGAAGATATTAAACTGGCAGATAATGATATCTGGTAGATAGCGGTTATCCAGAGATGAAATCAACGTGATATCACTTCGCTTTGCGTAAACTGAATTTGGGATGGGCAATTTCGATTCCGTAATTCTCAGAATTGACACTCAATTTAAAATTGTGCTTGTATTTTATAGATTTTCAAATTCATCAGTTTAATTAATAAATCACAATTTAGTAATACACTAATATGAATTCTGCCAATTACACGAGGACACATTCTTAGTAAGACGCGTCGGCAAATATTTCGTTTTGCACCGTGATAAGTAGTTGAATCATCTTGTTTTGTTCTGACATCACTTTGTAATTTTTCCTTAATATGGATCATCAATCATATTTACGTCTTATTGTGATTGTTTCGGGAAAAAGTTGAATGAATGAATGAAAATGAAGAAAACAAGGTACAAAATTCACATTGACTCAACATTGACTAGGTACAAAATCCCCTATTGGAGTAATAGTGGAAATATTTTACTGAAGAAAACTTATTGATATCGTGCTAATATCAATAAGTATACAAGTGCAAGTATCGTACATATAATTTTATGCTACAAATCTTATCTCCAAGTCTGGACCCAAGCCCATGCAAATGGACGCAGTATAATTCTATGGATACTTCTGCCTGTATTTTGACCATCAACATATACTAATGGACATGCCTTAAAGATGAGAATTGTGGCACTCCGAAAGAAAGAGAGAAAACGAAGTGTTGGTCTATCTTTATCTCTCTCAAAATAGTACCGTAGGACGTTATGAGCGAGAAAGAGATAACGCTAGGCCGAAAGCATAGGTCATCTCTCTCACTCTTTTCAAACCAAAAACTTACTGCAGATTATACGGGTACGGCATGTCCATTATTAGTATGTCGATGATTTTGACCTACCATCATTTTAAATCAACGTTTTTTCTATATATTTGATGGGCCGACGTTTGACTACTATCTCGCCTAGTGGTAAGCGATGATGCGGTCTACGATGGAGCACGTCGTCCCATAAGCAACCTATTCACTCGGACCTTGGAGACACCCAGGTTTATACCCTTCTTATACTTACACCAATTTTCCTTGTTACAGGTTGAAATGGCATGCGAGCTAAGGAAGCCACTATTCGTCCACGAGAAAGAAGCTCAAGACGATTTAATAAAGATCCTCGATGAATTCGGATCCCGTCTACCAGCAGTTGTGATCCACTCCTTCACAGGATCAGTGGAACAAGGACTTAAATACATAGAGAAAGGGTTTTACTTAGGTATCACCGGGTATATATGTAAGGATAAGTCAGATGGTGGAATTAGAAGGTTGCTCTCGGAAAGATTGTTGCCTCTTGACAAACTGCTGGTGGAAACTGATTCGCCGTTCATGTACCCGAATATGAGGGCTTCGAAGCTACCGCTGCATGTCAAGGATTCTCTGACTGAGAGGTAAGAAACATATTATAATTGTAGTGTAGATTTCTAATTTATTTTATCATGGTTATCTGTTACTACTGCTTAAATAGGGTAGATGCCTAGATGTAGGTTTTATACGTAGAAATGACGTAAAACTTTACCCTAAACTTTATTCGTTTTATCTAAGTATTGTTTTGGTATACGACAAAAAGTACGTGTTTAATATTTTTTCATTAGGTACCCACCTTACGGACTAATTATATTTTTAATTTTCACACCTTGTCATGATCAGTGTAGATTTCTAATTGATTTTATCATGGTTATCTGTTACTACTGCTCAAATTATCGTCATTATATTAGTTTTAGAATGTACACAGCTGAACATAGATCTCCCCAAATACTTCCAGGGGGCTTACTCTTGAATCCAATTCCGATCGATCGTTATGGTATTGTGAAATTTTGTATTCTTGAGTTTCCACACTAGCGCCCATTGCATCCGTATTGCGGGGATATTTAACGAACTAAATGGTATTGAGTTTAGCTTTATATTCCGTACTCTGAATGCTATTTTAACAGCTACGATAGGGGTTGTATAGTTTTGACAAAGAATAATTGTTGTGATTTTATTGAAATGAAATTGCATTGACATTGAGTTGGGTTTCAAGAGTAAGCACCCACATTGGTATTATAAGTGAGAACGTCTCATTGTAATGAAAACAATGAATAATCTAGCGATGACATAACATAACATCACGCCTTTTTTATCCTCGAAGGGGTAGGCAGAGGTGCACATTATACCACTGTACAATGTAACACCCACTTTTCACTATTTATGTTATGAGTCCCATGTAATAGGGGGTGAGCCTATTGCCAGTTCCAGACTCCGTGCTACTACTGAGATTTTTTTTTAAAAACCCAGTAATACTTTGCCCGACCCGGGAATCGAACCCGAGACCCCTTACCCGGCAGTCGCAATTGCGAGCACTCGGCCAACGAGGCAGTCATCATCTAGCGATGAATTCAGGATATTATTTTGACTAACCGTGCTTGTGTCCAGTCGACCAAGGAAACATGTATATTACACCAGTTTTACATGATGATACAAAAATAATTAAAAAAAAGGTGTCAGTAGGTGACTCTGGAATCTGTCCTTGACAATCACAATACAGAATGTTATGCGAATTTCTTTGTTAGATTGTTATATTGTCGGATCTTATGTCATCCATATTATGTTACATTCACACTATTGTAAGCTATTTAAGGATGTTACTCTATGTTTCTTTTGTTATTTTTTATAGTTATAGTTAACAAGTTGACACTATACTTTCATTTTCCGAAGTAGTAGCGTGCTTGTAATGCACATACTTTTCTTTACTTGTCTTTTTAACCGTCTTTTGGATGAACGGATAATCATCAAATGACTTTGGATGAGATGTGAGGGCGTGTCAGATTCTACATACATACATAACTTCACGCCTGTCTCCCATGGGGGTAGGCAGAGACTAAGGAACTCCAATTACTGCGATTCTTACATACCTCTTTCGCTTCATTAACAGTCATCAATCTTTTATCAATCATCAGATTCTTACTGACTAAAAACCACCCCGTTTCAACTCCTACCTCCTTATACCTCCTCTGCCGATATATGTTTAGCTTTAACCGTAACTTCGGTGTTATGAACCTTTCTACAACAGTAAGAACCTATTAACTACATTTCCAAACTTACTAAAGACACTTTTAAGTGTGGGGGAGCCATGCTTCGGCACGAATGGGCCGGCTCGACCGGGGTGATACCACGACCTCATAGATAACCGACGTGAAACGACGCTTGTGTTGTGTTTCGTCGTGTGAGTGAGGTTACCCAATTACCCCCCTCCCCAGTCTCCCCATTCCCCGAATCTCCCACAATCCTCAGAGTGAGATTCCACATTCCATTATATTTTAATTATAGAGTACTAGCGGCCCGTCCCGGCTTCGCACGGGGGGACTTAAGATTTTTTACATAGTTTTACATTTTATTTATATTTATTCTCAGTTTTTTTTTAGCGACCTGCCCTCCGTTGTCGATGTCGCGTCTTAAGGTAACCGATTGAACGATTCAAAAGTTATCTCGAGCAAACTTTTATAAGGATTGAACCTTTCATTAAAACGATTGTTATGGGTAAACTATAAAAGGTAGACATATGCTCTCGCGGACTTTTTTAAAAATAATGTTAAGATAAACAACTCATCTATAGAACATTTTTGTATAACTTTAACTATATGCTCAGCGCACGCCACGGAAGGCCTCAGAAACGATACTTTTCCCCCGTTTTTAAAACATTTTTGGTTACTGCTCCACAACTATAGGACCTAGCGTGATATTATATAGCCTATGTTACTTCTGAATAATGCAGCTTTCGAATGGTGAAAAAATTATTGCAATCGGTTCAGTAGTTTTTGAGTTTATTCATTACAAACATACAAAAATACAAATCTTTCCTCTTTATAATATTAGTATAGATAATTAATAATAGAGAAAAACTATTATAGACAATTTTGGAATCTATACGCTCTATGTTTTGCAATTACATAGAACACATTTTGAGCATGAAACAAATTTCAAACTCCAAAAACATACACTATAAAGTTTATCTAAATCTAAATAATACTACCTATTGTACGCTAGGTAGGATATATCGATTGCTAGACACAATATTAGGACGTGTTATGATTGTGATAAGATAATGATAGTCAACATCCGAATTACGTGCTGTTTGATAACAGAGACTAACAAAACAATGTGTTATCAAGCAACGTGCTACTTATAAATTACGGGTTGTCTAGTGTACCTACATCAATATATATATATATATATAGGAAAGAAAAGAAAGAGGAGGCTTTTATAGAGGCTGTCTTTTATAGATATTTTATGGGATACAGGGGGCAAACGAGCAGACCAGGGTGCTTACTCTTGAAACCAATCTCAATGTCAATGCAATTTCAACCCATAAAAACTCAATAATTATTCAATGTCAAAACTATACAACCCCTGTCGAAGCTATTCAAATAGCATTCAGAGTACGGAATATAAAGCTAAACTCAATACCATTTAGTTCATTCAATATCCACGCAATACGGATGCAATGGGCGCTAGTGTTACAACTCAAGAGTACGAAATTTTACGATAGCAATGTCGATCGATCGGAATTGGATTCAAGAGTACGCCCCCGGATGGTAAGGAATCAGTGCCGCCCATAGAAATTCGCAATATCAGTTGCCGTCCTTTGCTAGGTTAAAAACTTTACTGCTTGGCAAACCAGAAACCATAGTTATTACTTGCTAAGTTCATACTTCTTTTTGTTTCTTTCTCTTTTTAATTATTTTTAATTCATATATCTGTACGAAACAAACAAATAGGTACATATTTATTATTATGTGTCGATAGTACATAACAAGTGTAATAAAACATCCGAATAGTTTCACCAAATTTAATACTTACCTGTTTTATTTCTAGATCGATGAACTTCGTGAACCGTTACTGCACGTTTCAAAGGAATGAGCCTTGCGCCCTGCCAGCTATCGTCGAACTCATTGCCGGCTTCTTAGGACAAAAGCCAGAAGACGTCGCCTTAGCCACCGCATTCAACGCCCTTAAGATTTTCGGACTCAGCCAGTGAGTTAAGCAATTATACACCCTCTTACTTTAAAAATAAAGGCTAACAGGGAATTTGTAATATGGGGGATTTTTATACGATTTGTTATAAAGATATGTATATTGTTGGTTTTGATGAAATATGACTGAGTAAGAGGGTTGATCATGTCCAATTTTATAAGGAATCGAAATTCGTGCCTTAGTGCCTTGATTATAGAGTCGATTATACAGAAATGTTTGATTATTTGGGAGTGATGTAATCACAATAAAATCCCAGTTGAGATAGATTATACAATTGTTATATTAAAGCGTATTTGTTGGTTTCTTCGAACGCCATCCGATTTGTTCGAGATTTTTTCAATTAAATTATTGAATAACAATCTAACCTCGAAAATTGAAAATACTCATTTTCATTGCATTTCGATAATGACAAGAAACGATAATTTTTTGTGTACATCTTGTGGCACAATGAGGCTATAGAACGGTTTTTGCGACATTTTAGACGTATTTATAGACAATTTGTCGCTTAAATCGCCCTAATTTGATACTAAAACATTCGAGTATAATATCTTGCCATTGATTTAAAAACTAACATTGATTGCCTCTCTAAATGGTAAGCCTGATGATGAGTTTTGGAGAATTTCTATACATTTGAATACACAGAGTGAATATAATTAATTTATACAACGAACTGAAAAGCAGCTATTTAAAATTGTTGTGATTTAAATTATTTTATAGCGTAATAACTTGCAGATACAGCGTTTATATTTATTAATAATTTAATTTGTCTGTACAGTTATTTACGCTAGGTCAGTATTCTTAGCAAGAAAGTATAAGACTTTTATTTAAATCCTTTATGTACTACGTTTGTTTAAATGTATAGAAATAGAAAATTATAATGAGAGATATTGCTACGCAAGTTACAAACGCGTACCTGAAGAGCCAAGTCTTAAATTATTGCCATTTCATGATAGTACTTGGTATTTTTGCATAATAAACGAAGACCTTATAATAAGATTTTTTGACTAATAAATTGTGGCTTACGTCTGCACACGCCTTAAACTGGTGGCAACCGGGCTTTAGTCAGACTGATCTCAAATACCGTGTTTGAAGTTATTATTCATTTATCCATATTATTTTAAAATATTTCGTCAGTAAAACGAATAGTTTTCGACGAATCCCACAGTGTTGCAGTTCACTCGGTAATTCTTAGTTTTATTTATACGTAAGGAAATGTAAACCATTTTTTTTAATACTAACATTTTGTACGTAATTTAGATTTAGGCGATGTTAGACTAGATATATAATTAGTGTTGTCGCCAAATAGAACGTTTATTAATGTTTTTGTTTGTGTTTAAATAGTGTTCTTGATAAGTCCGATGTAGAGAGAGGGACACAGAGAAATAATTGCAAAGAAATTGAAAAATATTATTTTTTTACCTGCCATTTGAATGGTTGATTTCCATGCAGTTATTTGTCAGTATGTCGCTTTATAATCTATGTCGTCTTGCCTGTGTGACCGCGGTAGTGAACTGCGACCCTTGAACCCACGTACCGATGGCCTGTTGCCACCTTTATCGAATGCACGGTGTTAGGTATTTTCTTATAATTCTCGCTCTGCGCAGAGCATTCCTAATCGAATTACAATATTTATATTTTCATCGAATATTTGTAAATAGTTTGAAGATGTGTAATAATTATTTAATGTTAATTTAATGCTGGTAGTCACAACGAAATCAAAGACTGCAAGTATTAAAGAGAAAATGTGAAACTTGACATGTTAATTACGTTTATGTTTTTGTATCGATATTTTTTACGTATTTAATCGTTTATCGTGTAAGAAGTATTGTTATTCCTTTATTTTTTGACACTTTGTTGTAGTTGTGTAAGTGTGGGCTGGTGAGCCTGTAAGTACGTTTGTATTGCGCATGCGCACCGCTGGCCCGGCTCGTGTAGTGCCTTCGATGAAACGTCCTTTTGTGATACAATATTTTCATAGATTGTACAGATTATTTCTTTCAATATACAATTAAAGAAATTATCAAGTTGTGTTTTATTTATGTGTACTGGTTTCACAAAAATTAGCTCCTGATGTGAGAACAAAAATGACGTATTTTTGTAACAATCACATTTTTGATGAAATTTTAGAAAACTGAAATGTGAGGGTTTTTGTATCTGTTGTGTGTCATACACACATATATAGGGCAGCAAACGGATCACTTGATGAATCAAGAAATCAACGACACCGGCCATTGATGGTTGATTTTTGCCAACAACACCAGTGGTTTAGAGGCGCTTAAGTGTTTAGGGGGGTTTAGGGGCGCACCAGTTACAAGTGCTTTAAGGGAGGGGTGGACTGGATTATAAAGTATATAATAATAAACAATATAATTTGGAATTACGAATTTATTTCTACTTATGTACAATTTTTGGCAGTCAACATAATAATCACACTAACTTATGCATATAAGTGACCTGACATACAATTTACAACCAAACATTTTGTAGGAAAGTAATTGTGAATACTGTATAACATGTACTATGTACTGTTTTTGTCAAAAAATCTTGATACGTTTTAATACAGTCGATGAAATTATCAATGTAGGCACAATTTAACAACCATAATTACATGAATACAAATTCATGAAGTTACAGTACCATTTTTCTTTTTTTTTAATAAACAAAACTTATTTTGAACCTGATTAGTGCACATTTTTATAGTTTCATTCTTTTTATACAAAATTATTCACGAAAATACAAACTAATGTCAACAAAGATTTTTATTGCGGTATGTAAAGTCGCCAGCAGATCAATTGACGCCAAAAAGTAATTATTATTCATTGATTTACGATTATATATACAGTCAAAACCGCTTACAACGACATCGTTTATAACGACGAATCGGGTACAACGACGAAATTTTGAGGTCCAGTCTATTGTCTTATAAAGCATAAAGATATTGGTTATAGCGACTATTGGTTATAACGATCATAATTAATCGGTCCCTTCGATGTCGTTATAAACGGTTTTGACTGTATATATATTTCTTTTTTATCTGATGGGCCGACGCCGACGTATGGCCAAGCGATGATACGGCCTACGATGGAGCACGTCTGCCCATAAGCAAACTGACTCGGGCCTTGAAGACTCCCAGATTATACCCTTCAGGAAACACAGACTTTGGCAAAGAATTCTACTCCTTAGCAGTACGCACAAGGAAGCTTGAAGCGAAGCGCTTCGTGCGTGTGGGTGAGACATCTATCATCAATCGGTGACGCTTCGCCGATTGTCTTGTGGTACGATGATGGAAAGGACTAAGGGGAATCAAGTTGTGCAATTCTCACACTCACCGCGGTATTTCGCGATCGCGATTTATATCAATACCACAAAGTTGCAAATGTAACAAACAGTAGTGGTTAGCGTAGCATGTAAGATCTTTATAACAATTATTTGACCATGAAAACAATGTACTTGTAATATGACAACGGCACGATAAGTCCGTGGAGAAATACAATTCAATATTATTATTAAAAAAATGTAACAAACAAATTTGTCAGGAAAGGCCAAGTTGACCTGTTAGCAACCGTACATTTTAATTAACATAAGCTTAATAACTGTCATCATTTTATCTCAGCATTCAACCTCATATTACATCACACACAAATACAATTTTAACAATAATAATGACCTAATAAATATCACAGTTTTTATTTAGACTTTATCTAGTTTTTTGACAACGCCTGGTGGCGGGGAGCTAAGGACCTTCTTGGACAGTCTCACCTGACCGGAGACTGGGTCGCGTCCGAAGTATTTCACTTGTATTTCAGAGCCCACATCTAAGCCCAGCACTGAAGGGTGCATTATCTGGGAAGAGAAGATAGTTTTAAACATAACATAACAGCACGGATTTTATCCCCGCATAGGTGAGGAACCCGACTGGTTTCAAGCCATGCCAGAGGCTCATATTCACGAGCAGCTTTGAGCGACACGCGACGCGGCTACTGTTGCATCGCGAGGGTGAATATGCCGAATAACTTAATAAGTAACCCCTTACTTGTATTGTTAGGCATCCCTTGAAGGATGATGAAATCGAAAATGCCGTTAAGTGTCACCTATCTTAGTTTAAGGGTTCTTTAAATTTTAGAAGAGGTTGGTGATATTTCTTGCTCAACAGACACTATATCTCTTTTAGAAAATTAATTTTCTTACCTTCCTATGATCAAGTTGCGTATTATGTACAAGGGCGGGCGTCATGCCGGAGTAGAGAGTGACCAGTACTCCTATATCCTTCACCTCCACGACCCTCGCCTTGTATATAGCTCCAAACTCCAGTTCAGGAGTTTTTTCTGAAGTCAGCCAGCCTTGTATGCGACTGTGTGCCTCGTCCATCGCCGCTTGTGATGGCGCGAAGATACTGTATTTTATGTCGTCTATTGGTGTTACCTGGGAATTTTTATTTTAGACTTTGTTACTGAGGAATAAGGATTAAATCTGTGTAAATTCCTTGTAACACCTATCAATTTTAATTCTTTGCTATTATAATGTTACTATTCAAAAGGCATTTGATATTTAATCTAAGTTCGCGAGAGCCATGCTTCGGCACGAATGGACCGGCTCGACCGGAGTGATACCACGGCCTCACAGAAAACTGACGTGAGACAACACTTGAGTTGTGTTCCGTCATGTGAGTGAGGTAATCGGAGGCCCAATTACCCCCCTTCCACCCTCCCTAAGCCCTGAATTCTTAAGAAACTTCAAATTCCTAACCCCCAAAAGACTGGTAACGCACTTGTAACGCCTCTGGTGTTCCAGGTGTCCATGGGCGACGCCGATTGCTTACCATTAGGTGCCTCGTCTGCTCGTGTACCGCTTTATCCCGTAACGACACAAAGATTAAGGTTTACATTCAAATTAACTCGTAACTATTCTGCTTCCCTTTAAGTTCAACCTTACAACATAAATAATAAGGTTCACATTCGAACTGACCTGTACACCAGTTTCAAGATATAGTTTTTTCAAGTTGGCTCCTCCCATGCCGAGCAACTTTGGTCTCTTGTGGACTTCCACCTCCATCTCTTCGATAACCGGCATGTTATCTTTGTGCCCTTGTCTGAAATACATAAATAAATATGTAGCTATAATATCAAACTAGGAATTATATAATTATTATTATTACTCTTGATTTCTGAGGTTAATGCGCTCGCTTCTCGTGTATGTGTTGCACGTGCACGCTCTGGTGCGGGTTCGAAACCTGGCAAGTACCAATGTGACATTTTTCATGTTATATGATTATGTGACTACCGGTGATAAAAAGAGCTTAGAATATCTAATTATAAGTTTGAAATCACTAATCCGCATTGAGCAAGCGTGGTGATTAATACTCAAATCATAAGATATCATAACATCACGCCTTTTTATCCCCGAAGGCCCGATGGGGTAGGCAGGGCACATTGCGACACTTAATGCCACTGTACAATGTAACACCCACTTTTCACTATTTATGTTATGAGTCCCATGTAATAGGGGGTGAGCCTATTGCCATATACCGGGCACAATTCCAGGATCCGTGCGACCACTGAGATTGTTTTTTAAAACTAATACTTTACCCTTTCCGGGAATCGAACCCGAGACCCCTTGTTTGGTAGTCGCACTTGCGACCACTCGGCCAATGAGGCAGTCTCCGTAATACCATTGCCAATGCCCAATTACCCTCCCCCCTTTCCCCAATCCCTGAATCCCCAACAATCCTCAAATGCTTAATCCCAAAAGATCGGTAACGCACTTGTAACGCCTCTGGTGTTCCAGGTGTCCATGGGCGACGTCAGTAGTTTACCATCAGGTGATCCGTAGGGTCGTTTACCGGTTTATCCCATAAAAAAAAATCCGTGTAGAGTACTCCAATCATCTCCGTGTGAGAAGAGGTTTTGCTCAGCAGTCGGAGAGTTATAGAAAGTTATATTATAGATGATGATGAAAAAACCAACCTTGGTTTATCAATACACTGATTCATAATATCGATGATCTTGCTCTTAGCGTCGCACGCCTTCTGTATAGACTCCATGACAATCTTGAGCGGTAGTCCGGGGACTTTGACGTCAGCTTGTAACGCAGTCATTCCTTTCTTAGTACCGGCCACTTTGAAGTCCATGTCGCCCATGTAGTCTTCTATACCCTGAGAAAAAATATGATTTTACTTTAAAAGTTCATTAAAATTAGTGTTTTAATTTATATTGTGTTTATAATAAAAAAAATGTTATATTGTTTAGTGATTTTTTAAAGAAATATGGTTTATATTTATTTGAAAAATGTTGTTAACATAACATCACGCCTTTTTATCCCCGAAGGGGTAGGCAAAGGTATACATTTCGACACTTAATGCCGAATGTTGTTGTTTAATCAAAATGTAAGAATTTGGGATAGGCCTTTGCACAGCTAGGGTTGACAGAACAATTAAAAAAGTATAATTAGGCAAGGGTTTACCTATTATTAATAATCATTTTATTATTATTTCATTGCTTATGACATCATTATTTTACATTTAAACACATGGTCTAAGCATTTGTCAAACAAACATCCCATTTCTAAAAATCAGAACATCTGTTAAGAGACTCCAAAATCTAATAAAATGTTACATAGAAAAATCACAAACGGACTCACTAACAAATCAGTAAGAATCCTGTAGTCCTCGATTTGTCCTTGTTCATCAGGTCGGGAGACCAGACCTATCGCTACTCCTGCCGCGGGAGCTGACAGAGCTACCCCAGCGTCCATCAGGGCGAGGGAACCTCCACATACTGACGCCATTGAACTTGAGCCTGCGGAGAAATTATATTTATTGTACTCATGACAAGTGTATGAGAAAGAAAGAATTTGTCGCCACTTCTATCTTTCTCGCAGGTTTTTTTTTATGGGATAAGCCGGTAAACGCGCCAACGGATGATGGTAAGCAATCGGCGTCGCCCATGGACACCTGGAACACCAGAGGCGTTACAAGTGCTGGCCCTTTGGGATTAGGAATTCGAGGACTGTTGGGGATTCAGGGATTGCGAAAGGGGGAAGGGGTTATTGGGCCTCCGGTAACCTCACTTACGCGACGAAAAACAACGCAAGCGTTGTTTCACGTCGGTCTTCTGTGAGGCGTCATAAAAGCAGAGTCAAGGAATAAATACTCTACGGAGCCACGGAAGGCCTAACGGGGCTTGAAGAGCAGGAGTAAGAAAGGGGTGGTTTTTAGTCAATAAGATTCTGTAACTCCGTCTCGCCTAACCCAAGGCGGGAAAAGTTATTGAATGATGTATCCCCTCAAAAATAGTATTTTGTACATTTTTTGATAATTATGATTTCTTAAACTGCGATCTTCTGACCACCCTTCTGTCGAACCCACCTGCCACGGGTGGCAGGCACGGCTCCTCCTGTATCTATAGAGGAGGCCCATAGTTCAGTAGTGGACAGTTACGAATGTTAATGATGATAACATAAAAACTTATCATTAGAGTGAATAGTGAAAATGTCTATCATTTCATAATTTCAACAACGTGAAAGTGAATAGGTTGCTTATGGGTCGACGTGTTCCATCGTAGGCCGCATCATCGCTTACCACCAGCCGAGATAGTGGTCAAACGTCAGTCCCATCTAATATAAAAAAAAGTTCACCTGAAAGTCAAGACCCTTAAAATAAATTCTATCATAACCATTTACCATTGGACTCGAGTACTTCAGCAGTTAGCCTGACAGTATAGGGCTGATGCGGCACGACGGGTAGTAAGCCCCTCTCAGCCAGGGCTCCGTGCCCTGCCTCGCGGCGCCCCGGGGCTCCAGTCCGACCCACCTCACCCGTCGCGTATGAAGGAAACTCGTAATGAAGGAAGAAACTCTTTTCTTTTATGCCACTGGAATAACATAATGGGAAAATAAATAAAACACGTATTTTTGTTAATTACTCTGTGGCGGTCATCGCCCCCATTCTATGCCATCATGTGATTCTGATTCTGATCATGTGGTTATGATGTCACCTGTGCCCTAGCATGTATTAATTTGATTTACTATTAAACAGTCTCATACCGAACTTAAACGAGTGCAGATTTTACTCCTCACACAAATACCCTACACATATGGCGCTAAGCCCCACAACTCTATTTTAAAAGGAGGGCAAATGAAATATTGGGTACGAATTTAGTATCCGTGTTAAGAAGCTTCAGATTAAAACACAATATTACTTTGCCCTACCCTAGAAATGAGTTGAAAACATTGAATTTTGCCGTTGCGATAATAACGAGGCATTTTTTATTTTAGATTAATTTCTTTACGCGTTACTAACGAAAATATAGATAGACAGACGGACGAACTGTTATAGTGTTGGGGTAGTTCGGAATAAAAGAGTCCAACTTGCAGATAATTAAGTTTATTAAAAAATGGTTTAAAATCAATAATTAATGTTTTAACTCGTCATATATAAAACGTCACTGGCAATGTCACTGAATAGAGAGTCACTGGATGAGGAAACGACTGGTTAGATCGGATTGTGAATTAGTACTGTCTGTCTCACGGTATGACAGACAAACTCTGGGCACACACACATGCTTAAAGTGCATACAATGTATAACAGAACGACGGATTCTATAAGGACTCCGTATTTTCCTTTTATGGAACCCTAAAAATAAAAAGATTCTAAAGTAAAATAAATCTTGGAACTATTTTTATTTTATTCACATTTTATCTTCCGGTTATCAAAGTATGACTTACCTAGTAAGCATAGTTAGTGTATCCATCTTGAGCGCGCTCTCTGGGGAGTCGAACGCGACCGTGCATAGAACCTGTGTCTGCCCGCGTTGGAACACTGCGCTACCGTGCAGGGGCTCATATAGAGATACCTGGTGAAGAATAATAATCATCATAATATTTTTTTCCATTATCTATTTTAAACTGTCAAACACCAAGCGGTCACCGGTGACCGCGACCTATTGTTCTTTAATTGTGTCTATAAAACCGGTACTCGACGAGTTAAAGTAACCGGGGACTGTCCTTGGGTGCATTTCCATAGTGCATACAGGGATAGTCGCGGGTTTGTGTGTGCATTACATTTAGATTTAATTGGCCTTGTGTGCCTCCCAAAAGACCGGGACCCTGTGGTCCCGTGAATAGTAGAATCATAATATTAGATTATTAAATTTTATTGTTTACTAATGTAGCTGTTTGACAAAACGTTCTTTGCTTACCAAATGGCGCAAAATTTAGGATGGGATTTTTTGTCCAATCACAGCAGCTGTCAAAATATTGAACGTCCAATGACGCGACACTATCTAATTCTCTATTGGACGAATAATGAGATAGGCACACTGGCGCCTCCTGGTGAGCAAAAATATGGTACGCCCCATTCGACTAGTTTCAAGCACAGTAGGGAGCTAACAATTGGTTATGTGAAGTTAACTGAGTCGTTTATCGGGCAATGCTGCTATGACTAAGATTATGAGTCTTTAGCCCCTACCCTGGTTTAAAATTAGTAGAGTTACCTCGTCAAACAATTACATAAGAAAACATACTGCACGGTTAGCGCGGTGGCTGGGCAAATGGCTGCCGCCAAACGTGTCGTGGGTTCGATTCCCGCACGGAACAATTCATTGTGTGATCCACAGATTGTTGTTCCGGGTCTGGGTGTCATGTGTATGTGAACTTGTATGTTAGTAAACGCACTCACAACACAGGAGAAAATCCTAGTGTGGGGCAACGTTTTTTTTTTTAAATTTAAAACATCAGTCTTATTTGAAAGTTCTATGTTTGAAATTACAGCGATCGTACCTGACAACTAATCTTCCTGAGCTCATCCAAATGCCGCCCATCACACCGTACATCGGTCTCGAATATCATGTCCCGGAATATCTTCTTAAGGTTGTCGTTGAAACAGTCTTGCAACTGTGTGACGTCGGCCTCCGTCTCACGAAGTTGGTTTAAAACTGTTTGTCTGAGTTCTGATATCGCGTTGTCTCGCGATATTTTGTCGTGGGAGTAGTCGCTGGAAAGAATTATTTTTGTTGGTGAAAATTGAGTACACGCAAACTGGATAATATAATAAATTAATAAATAAATCTTTATTCAGATATGTGGCACAGACACAAAATTATTCCTTGTGTAAGAAAAATAGATCCCACATGGTTTTTTTTAAGGGGGGGAAGAAATCATCGAATGACTGCTCCCGCCTGGGTGAGGTAGGAGGGAGTGTCAGACTCTTACTGACTAAAAACCACCCCGTTCCTTCTCCTGCACGTCGAGCCGGAGCCCCGTTAACCCGTTAGGTTCTCCGCGACATCTCACATGGTTAGGTGCCTGTACTAGGATAAGCCTGTGTCATATAATAAAACTAAACAATCTTTAATACTCGAAAACTCAAATGTTGATTTGTTTATGAGATAATGTAATAAGGGGTGAGCTTATTGCTGCAAACTTTTGAGATTATGCTCGACTTCAGCTTAGAAGTTATAAAAATGATGAAACCTTAATTTTTTTATATTTGCTTGGGAAACCTTCGGCAGGCGCCAAGCTGATTTGGGGAGAAAAAACTAGGGAGTGTGGGATTCCTAGCTCACTAAAACCACCCACCCCTGTGGCCACCATCATCACCTATAGGGCCACGAGTCTTCTATAATAGACCTGCAGCTGTACCCAAATGCCATTTAGCGCTTGTCTACATGTAGAGTAGAAAACCGAATAATATGGAATTGACGTAAATTTTGACACTTGTCAGTGTCATCTCCATACTTTTAGTTTTCTACTCTCTCGGTAGATAAGCGCAAAAGTGGCGTTAGGCTAAAAGCACTGTTCCGGAGCCCCCACGGTAATATATAGCCTAACCCGGCCCCACCGACCCCGTGGTCTTCGGCTTAAAACAACGACACAAAGTCGGCCTAGGATTTTAATCTTAATTGGGTAGTTTCCTGGGTCGAAAATAAATTATTTTGATTTTTCAATCCAATTAAATGTTGAAAAATAGTTATACTTTCATTCATTGATTTGCTTATATACTTAATTTTCGATTTATTCTTGCATTTTCTTCAGATATAAGTGTGCTATTTGACGCGTAAATATGATGACGTCATAAGCTAGTATTTCGTACAAAATTCATAGAACAGTATCGTTTTTGACGTTTCGATAAAAGTATTGAATTTGACTAGTTGTCAACTATCGTATTGTATCAATTGCTTTTCCAAACTTATTCGTATTACACAAGACAAGCCAGTTTTCACCTATTCGCTCACCTGAGTATCTCCCTGATCTTCATAGAAGACAGTGTGCTGACCGCGTCCATTATTTCTTGGCGCAAAGGCGCCGGTGTCTCATACGCCCGCTTCATTTTACCATGACTCTTCTGCAGTTTCTCTATGCCTCGGACTATAAGCTGGGCTTCTTTTGTACCTGAAAGAATTTTTTAGGTATAAAGTTATGTTTGCTTGACAAATATTAGGCTTATTGAGAGACAAGCACGAATGGGCCGGCTCGACCGGAGTGATACCACGGCCTCACAGAAAACCGATGTGAAGCAACACTTGCGTTGTGTTTCGTCGTGGGAGTGAGGCTACCGGAGGCCCAATTACCCTCCCCTTCCCCAATCCCTGAATCCCCAACGATCCTCAAACTCCTAATCCCCAAAAGGCCGGTAACGCACTTGTAACGCCTCTGGTGTTCCACGTGTCCATGGGCGACGCCGATTGCTTACTAACTAACAGGTGATCCGTTTGCTAGTATACCGGCTTACGCCATAAAAAAAGTAACAGAACATGGGGTAAGGGCAAATGAGCAGACAGTTCCACTGATGATAAGCAATCTGTGTCGCTCATGGACATCCACAACATTATAGAAATTTACAGAATTTCCTGTCGTTTATATGCTTTATAAGCCTTTTGGTGAGGGCGAGGAGACGGGGCCTCTGGAAATACGGCGAAACAAAACGCAAGCGTTGCTTCACGTCGATTTTCTGTGAAACTGTGGTATCACTCCAGTTCAAGCCGACCGTTCATGCTGAAGCTTGGTTCTTGCAGTGAAAATATGAATTATAAAATGTTATTAATTTATCTCTTCCTCGTTGGGCGAGTGCCCGCAAGTGCGACTCCCTGGTAAGGGGTCTCGGGTTCGATTCCCGGGACGGGTAAAGAATTAATGAGTTTTTAAAAAAAAATATCTGTAGTAGCATAGGCTCACCCCCTATTATATGGGACTTATAACATAAATAATGAAAAGTGGGTGTTACTTCTGTGTGCACCTCTGCCTACTGCTTCGAGGATGGAGGGCGTGATGTTATATTATTTTTTACGACGTTTAAACGTATATTTGAGTGTCGTCTTTAATAACAAAAATTACAACTGGACTTACTTGCATACCTAATTTGATGGCTTTCAGCAAGTCCTGCTGCAGTATATCCTGGGCGCTGCCCTCCATCATCACAACCAAGTTCCTGTTGGTAGCAGCCACCACCAGGTTTAATATAGACTTCTGCAGATCCTTGCGAGTTGGATTGATTATTACTTCATTATCTATTTGTCCTATTCTGTAATGAAAGGAATTAAGAATTATTCTCGTTGTTAGTTGAATCGTCGCAATGGTCAAACTACCAGGGGGTCTCAGGTTTGATGCCCGTATGATGAAGCTTTGATAAGTGATGATGAAGCCAGACACAAATATTCTCTGGACTTTTCGGTTTTTCGAAAATTTCTTGGCAATAGCACGGTCAGTATATAAAGATAGATGATATTACATTGTATAAAGCACTTCTGCTGACCCCTTCAAGGTTTAGTAAAGCGTGGCGTAAATTACATACCTTACAGCTCCAATCGGTCCATTCCAAGGCACATCAGACAGTGCTAAAGCTGCACTGGCAGCGTTTATGGCAACAGTCTCCGGTGGGTTCATAGAATCAACCGCAAGCATGTTACATACTATTTGAGTATCAAAGAAATAATTCTGTGGGAATAGTGGTCGCAAGGAGCGATCGATGAGCCGAGATGTTAGGATTTCACGTTCCGTTGGACCTGAAAATAAATAAATTATAGCAATAATGAACCTTAGATGTAGATGGGGAGAGGTGTTTTAAGTGACTGACAGTGTGTGATAGATCATTGCTCGTTTGGTGCGGTGGCTAAGTAACTGGCTGCCGCACAATGTGTCGCAGATTTGATTCCAGTACGGACCAACTCTTTGTTTGATCCACAGATTGTTGAATCGGGTATGGGTGTAATGTCTACAACATGAGAAAAAATTTCTAGTGTGGGGGCAATATTAAAAAAAAATGTTGTGCATACTGCTAAGGAGTGGAATTCTTTGCCAGAGTCTGTATTTCCTGAAGGATATAACCTGGGTGTCTTCCGAGTGAATAGGTTGCTTATGGTACGTGCTCCATCGTAGATTGCATCATAGCTTACCACCAGGCGAGATAGTGGTCCATAAAAAAATGAATCTAAAAATAACGGTTTACTGACATAACTATACTCAGAAAAACTCTACTAGTTTCGAGTCACAAACTTGAGCAACGTGTGCGGTCACAGCAATGTCGCGCAGCCTACTGACCTGTCATAGGTCCTATAAACCTTTATTTTTTTGATAATTCAGTGTCTCACGATGAAGTTGTTTGGACAAACTTATTACTATATTTTCCAATTAGAAATAGTTAGATTTCTTTATTAGAAATAGTTAGATTTCCAATTAGAATAGAAATCTAACTATTTCTAATTGGAAAATATAGTAATGAGTTTTCCAACATTATAAAATTATTTTAAATGTAACAGCAAGGCGTCTGGTTAGTCTGGTATACAGTATGCCAGATTTATTATAGGAATAAAATCGTTTGTTAGGAGGTAAGTATATAGAATGTAGATTATACCTAATTCTCTTCTAAGAAAATTGGTTGGTATTCGTCCAGCTGCAGCTTTCTGTCTATAGTCCACTACGAGCGGCAGAAATGTTGAAGAACTTTGTTTGGCTTTGGATACCACTGTAGATAGTATAGCGGTGTTCCCCAGTGTAGCCACACAGGCACCGTCTGCAAACCTTGCATACTGGCCAGTTTTTATATTCAAAGATGTCCTGGAACCAAAAAGGTTTTGATAATATAAGGTTGAATTATCTATTGGTAAGGTTTTTAATCTGTATGCATGTGATAAATAACAGATAATTGTAGCAGTGTTTAGTTTACAGCAATAAGTTGCAGTTTTTTTATTATCAGAAATAAATATAATTCGGCCTTAACCTTTTTAAACATAACCTAAAACTTACCCTTTAGAAAACGGTATTTCGACCTCACCAACGCTTGTTTGTGCCGTATAACATCGAGAACATCTCTTTTTATGAATTAATCGTGATAAAAACAAAGGTTTTCTTGCTAACATAGCGGAATTTTCTTATTTAAATAAGGGTCAAAAAAGGACGTTGTTATGACACTGTCTTAAGTTGTCTTTCTTATTAGAAAATCTATTTTCTATTTCATTTGTTTAAGAAATTGTTGAATCTTATCAGAAGATTTTATGGTCAAAAGCTTTAAAATAATAAATTAATATTTTGGAGTGCCTAATTTAAAAATCGGGACTTTTTCGGTTTCAGATAAATGTAATCAACATGACATAAACGGTCCAATCTACAAAAATCTGATTTGAAGTATAAAAAGTATACCTACTTGGCCGCTCTTGGCGCTCTCTCTCTTTTACTTTTTGCTAAGTAGGCATTACGTCCCTTTTTAATGTCAAATAAAATTTGCTTACAAAGTCGACAATGCCGAGTACTTGGAACGTTTACTTCCGTCCAGAAACTAGTAAACAACTAGTAATTTTTCTCTTGTAACATACAAGAGAAATTAGTAAAATTAGTAAAACAATAAATTAGTAAATTGTTTTTATTTTTTACTTATTAGTAACCGTTCGAAGCACCTTTCATTGAATTAATAAATAAATTATATATTTCTGAGACCCCAAAGTGAAATTTCTAAACGTACTTTGTTTACAAAGTGTCTGTTAGTTTCAGCTGTTCGAGTGTTCAGGTTCAGTGAATAAAAATTAAATGATAATTCTATTGCAATAAATAATTCGAACCTGGACGAAAATAAATTCATTTTCCTAAGATAGATTTTGTGTGTACTTTTGGCTGAATTTGTATACCAGTTCAACACATTGTGTTTTAAATATTCGAAGCTATGGCACCGCAGGAGCCCGAAAAGAAAGCAGATGTAAACAGAGTAAAAAAGGTTCATGGAAATGATTCGTTTCAACGAATGAATTATCTGTACCAAGTAAGTATGCAGACTTCGTTAAAAAAAAATTTATACGACCCTTAAGTCAGCACCTTAGAGTCCTAGGCTAAGGTGATATACCTGTAGTCCTAGGCTATAACACTATAGTTATCAGATCTTCAGAGGGCATGTCACTCGACCTGTACCTCAAATATCGTATATCATACGATATCATAAATTTCTCCCAGACAGATTACAATAACAAGAAGAAAAACAAAGTAGTTAGGTAAGAAACAGTTATATTGTGCCATACTTAGTTTCCAGTTTGAGTGTATTAATATTTTCGTTCGTAAATATTAATTTACTAGCTACTCCTGTGTAGTGTCACCAACTGCTCGGCTCCTATAGGTCATAACATAACGCTTTATAGCCTATTGACTTCTTTGAGAAATGTACTATAGCGACAACACAAAAGATTAGTGCTTTCAAACAAATAAACAAAGTCTTCAGCTTTATACAATTTAGTTCAGATAAGTATAGATTAATCATGCGGTAACCTTTCCTTAAATTTTTCATCCATATAGTTTTAACTAGCTACTTTCGCGCGGCTGCACCCGATCTGCTTGGCTCCTATTAACCGTAGCGTAATGTTTTATAACCTATAACCTTCCTCGATAAATGGTGGTAGTTACGTAGATTAGCATGTTCAAACAAACAAACACCCAAACAAACAAACTTTTCAGCTTTATATAGTAGTATAGTATAAGATAGTAGTTTTTGTTACTATAATTTACTTTATTTTATTTTCAGATCAGTAAACACATAGCAGACAAGAATCCAGCTTTATCAGCGTATTATGGAAACCTAATAGTTGGGGTGGCTAAGAAAATGGTATTGAAAATGTAAGTAAATAGTAAAAAAAATGGTTTCATTAATATTACACAAAAAAAAAGGTTTAAGACGCTTCTCATGCATTCGAAACCAGCTGGCAAGTTCCAATGTTACTTTTTCCGAGTTATATGTACTTTCTAAGATTATCTAGACATCACTGAGAAACGGTAAAGGAAAGCATCATGAGGAAACCTGGGGATATAATTTCTAATTATAAGTTTTTATTCGCCAACGCGCATTGAGCAAACATAGTGATTAATGCTCAAACCTTCTCCGTGCGAGAAGAGGCTTTGCTCAGCAGTGGGCATTTATAGGCTGTTGATGATGATAAATATTTCATACTCCTGCACAGTTTCACCTGCTCTAATTTATCTTAACATAATGTTTTATGACCTATAACCTTCCTCGATAACCAACTAACTATTCAGGTGAAAAATAATTATTGAAATGGGATCAATAGTTTCAGAGATCAGCGCTTTCAAACAAACAAACCCTTAGCATTTAAGAGTTATATTTAGTTTATAAGTTACAGAACTTAATATAACTCTAAATACTGTTATTTATAACATATAAGTAACACTACTTCACACCTACCTCGTTGGCCGAGTGGTCGCAATTGCGACTGCCGAGCAAGGGGTCTCGGGTTCGATTCCCGGGTCGGGCAAAGTATTACTGGGTTTTTAAAAAAATCTCAGTAGTAGCACGGAGTCTGGAACTGTGCCCGGTATATGGCAATAGGCTCACCCCCTATTACATGGGACTCATAACATAAATAGTGAAAAGTGGGTGTTACATTGTACAGTGGTATAATGTGCACCTCTGCCTACCCCTTTGAGGATAAAAGGCGTGATGTTATGTTATGTTGTGTTACTTCACACCTTATAATCATGGAGGGGGAAGGCATTGATTGTGTAGAATTGTGTTTTACACAAAGTATGGAGTGCATATTTGTTCGAGTTTTGTTATAAGGGCTATGTAATAGATGGTTGAACCTGTGGCCTCATTATGTTTATTTAATCAGGGAAACACTTGCTTGTATTCCATATTAAAACATATAATTAGGTGTGATTCATAATTATTTATGATATTTATTAAATTTTATATTTTTTCAGACATCCAGATATTAAACGGCAATTTTGCAAAAAATGTAGATGTGTTGCCATCCATAAGGTAACAGCCACAATGAAAGTAAAAAGAAAAAATAAATCAAAAACAATTCAGTGGACTTGTGACATCTGTGGTACCAAGAGAAATTTTCCCGCCAATGAAAAGCATGACCACAGATTATGGTTAGAAAAACCAGAGGCTGTACTTGAAGTTATTAATTAATAAAATTGTTTATACCACTTATAATTTTATATTTAGTATAAAATGGTTAAAAAGAAAAATAAACTCTGTTTTTCATTGATGCACACAACAATATAAAAACACACATAACCAAACAATTTTTAAAATTATATTTAAATAATTATTAGCTACACTCGTACTTATATGTACCTGTAATTTAGTATAGTACGTATATAATGTGGGTACCCTTTTAACCGACTTCAATAAGTTATCAATTACGAGTAAAGCACACCTTCCTCAGTCGCCATACCTGTCGCCGGTCAGCATTTTGGACACTTTTCGAACGCCTTTTAAATTGACTGTTATTTGTGGAGACACCATGGCTACTGAACTTGGTGTTGCGACGTTCGGATGCCACAAGAGGCCTGTGTCGTTGGTGACGTCACCATGGCATCCCAATGAGGCAGAGCTCTTATCTATGCAGTCACTATATGGTCTTGTGTATATTGTTACGCGGTCACTCCTCCACTGTAACCAATTCAACACATTGTATCAGGGTCGTAGACGACAATACTGACGCGCGACGATTTCCGTCCGCTGTAAGTGCGGGTGTGCGGACGGCGAGGGTAGCTTAATGCTCAACCAGAACCAGGCTTTGGGCGTACGGCGTGTAGTGTTCCTCACGCGCTTCAAAGAGCCTTCAGACCACCACAGATCGGGCCCAGTAGGGTTGATGCCTGACCCGGAGCTGCGGACAACCTAACGGGTTACCGGGGCTCCTACTCAAAGTAGGAGTAGGAACCGAATGACATGGTTTTAAGTCAGTAAGAGTCTGACACTCTCTTTCGCCTCACCTAAAGCGGGAGAAGTCATTGGATGCTTAGCTTGCTTAGCTGTCACGCTTTTGAAAAGGGGATTGTCCCCCTTTCAAAAGCGTGACAGCTAAGGTTAGCCGTAATGTACCCTTCTATGTACCGCGGTCCCGGTATACATCAGGAACGGCTTCCGTTTGGCCCGCACTGGTGCAAGAGAAACTGGGTAGCTGTCTCCTGCGAAGCTGCTTTAGGGAACAGAGAGTATAGTTCCCTAAGATCGGAAAAGGAGGATCCTCCGACCAGGCGAGGTGATCGTGCCTGGCGGGCTTTCTTCCCAACAGTTGTTCGTTGGGATTTTCTATCCGTGTTTATTCGCTTGTAAACTTTGCATGTGCGATGTAGGATTCTTGTGACGTCATCCGTTGACATGTGACATGCGTCGCCACATCACTCCCTCCCAAGACCGGAGGTCGATCCCGCTGAGAAGGCTGTCGATGCTTGAGATGAGCGGTGCCAGAACCAGTATAGAAAGTCCCTAGTTCCAGTGAGTTGGAACTGTGCCGCTGAGTGCCCAGTGAGTCGGGTGAGCGGTGCAGGGCGATGCTCCAGTGAGTCGGAGAGATGCGTTCGCAGTGTCCCACGGTGAGTCGGGGAAGAGATGCTGCGAGGGTAGGTGCGTAGTGGCTGGCGTCTGCGTTGACGGGAGGAGATGTCCTTCAGAACCGTGTGCAGAAGTGCTGTGCCTAGACGCTGGTGAGGCCGTAGGGAAGAACCAGGCTGCACGACTTCGTTGCAGGCGATGGTGGTCCCTGATGAGGCCGAGGATGCTGGTTGGCTGCGACTTGATTACCACTCAGCGGAGAAATGATGAATGAGAGGGATGGCGACGGATGACAGTGCTAATCTGCTCCGTGAAGTGAAGGTTGCTTCCAATCACGTCGGGGTCACCACTTTAGGGAACTATACTCTCTGTTCCCTAAACTGCTATACCTACCTGCTTAAGAGGAAGCTATGTGGCTTGCAGTTAACTCTAGCTAATTTTACTTTCCATACGGGGTTTCCTTGTATCTACCTAATGTAACCTTAGTTATGAGCTAAACTTCGTCTGCGTTATTTTATAGGTAATACGTAATAATGAATATAAGGCTGGTTACACTAATAAAGTTGATTACATACTACACTAAATAAATAGTTTTGATTCGTAGTTGCGTATATAGGTATGTATTTATTTAAACTTATTAGGCACACATGGCCAACCCACCCAGAATCGAAGAAACGGACAGCGTACAGGGTGTTCCACGCGGGAATCGAACCTGTGGCATGTTGCTCAATGGCCACTGCTCTAAACGTAATGTGATATGTGTGCGTGGTAAATGTTACCATTTTTCGACTTTTTATCTTTATTTTTATCTCTTTCTGGGAGTTATTTGTGTTACAAATAAATAGGTACCAATTTATCGAACCACTTGCATAAAATAAATGTA